ATATATATATATATATATTTTATCCCACGATGATAACTATTTGAAGGAAGTACTGATGGAACGGATTAATGTAGGAATGCTTGTTGATATACGTCGCTCGGATGGTCGTGTTCATAGTGCTACTATTTGCGAGGTTCGCGAAGGAACGCAGTCAGTCACAGTAGAGTGGTTCGAGAATGTATGCATTTTATTATTTAAATTTTACCTTATTTATTTTGTCATAAGAATTGTAAAAGGGTATTGTACGCTTTGTCAAGTAAGAGTTGTGGTTGTCTAGTTCTTTTATGTCTTAAAATTTTTGATGAGTTAAGTAATTATGGATAATACAATCATTTTTCTTAGGAATAAATATAGTTCGTGAAGAGTATACTGAAACATAGTTTACTTCATGAAGATTGAGAATTTCATGTGCATGCATATGAAATGGTATCATTCGAGTACTACTAACTCAGCATTTGCTACTCTTTTATGGCTTGATTGTTTCAGGGTGAAACAAAAGGTAAAGAAATTGATTTAAAAGCTTTATTGGCTATTAATCCAACGCTAACCACTACTCAACTTTCATCCATGAATTTCGTTTCACTTGCTTCTGAAGAAGAAAATACATGTGAATTTGTTAGAGCATCCGAACTTCAGCTGAGGACTCAAAACAATACTGAAGGTATTAAGTTGTGTACCTAATTTGTACTGTTTGCAGTGTTCTTATGCAAGGATAATAAGCTCTTCATTTTTTCGTTTGGCTATTTTTTTGAATTCAATAGAAATGCGTCGTCTAGGAATGCCTTTTTCACGAACTAGTGATATTGGTACTTTTTATACTACAGCAGCCAGAAACGGTGGTGGATTTAGAACGAATCTAAGTGGTTACAAACGGGTTAGCAGCCTGCAAACACCCAATAAACCCTCCAAGCAAAATACACATCGTTTTCCTCTTGATCAATCATGTCTCGAATTTGATTTTTTGACAGGTTAGCAGGTAATGAAAACTTCCATGAAGCATTGAGAACACAACCTTCTCAGTTTACCAAGGATATAGCTTGTTCATTTCTCTTGTGCAGTAACTTCATAAAGCGCGATTAGCATTTAATTTTCCAAATTGTATGCAAGGGGATATGATATTACTGAACAACTTTAAAAATACCAAATCATTAGATTAAGATAATCCTAAAGATTGATTGAGACATTGAAGTAATAATAGTGTACTTGAAACCGTATAATTGCAAAATTACTGATTTCTAAATCTATGCAAGTAAACTTATCAGTTGTATTGTTACAAGCTTTCAGTGCCTTGTTTTCCTTTTTATTTTCCTATTGCAGTAACTTCTTGAAGCGTATAATCAATGCAGACATAATACTTTGTAATTTCGTTCACACTCATTGATATTTTTTGTAAGACTTTCTGTATATTTACTCATGCATTGGTGAATAGTTTTACAACTTCTTTCTTGTATCTTTCTTAATAATGTAAGTGTTATTGATTGCTGATTAGACTACTGTACTGCTGTGCTATTCAAATGTGGAAACTTATATTATTTTCGCTCATATTGCAGGAGTGGGAAATAGTGCGTGAAAATAATTAGATAACATATTTGTGAAAGCATTTAGACATGAGAGTTTGTAAATTAGATTGGGTTTTGAATCCGGTACCTTGTCGATGCTGATTTTTTTTCCATTTTAGGATCTTCAACGAGTGGTGCAGTACAAAATATGGCCAAGTTTGGTCTGAGTCAAAACATTCATAAACCTTCAGTTGTTCGAGAAATTGGGCGTCTGCAAAGGAATCGTGAAGAACGAATTGCTCAACTGGTTAATTTTTGTTTTTAAATAGATATGTACTGCATCTGCCATCATCTGAAAAAGCGAAGTTTTTCCAGATGAAGCTTTCTTTAAATGAATTCACAACCCACGACTAGATTCAATATCTTGAATGTATTGTTTTTGAATGACGGTTTGAAATTGGAATAGCCTTAAACAATACTCAGATGTTGCTGTCATACAAATATTATATATATATATATATATATATATATATATAT